TAACTGCCAGTTTACGTAGATATGTCTCGGTGATTTTCAGACCACATCTTTGCATTGATATCTTACTTGACTTGGTTAAATGTTCATAGAAGCAGAAGGTTTCTTCATACACTCCATTAGAGCCATCCAATTCGCTATCTAGCTCGCAGTGTAAGGCATCGAGAGCCCAACGAGACTGGAGAGTACGTAACAAATCTTCGAGTTCCTATTTCTCTAATACTAATTCAAGGTCAATATTTGATAGTGTTCGTTGAAATAATTATAAGTTGTTGTTCTGTTTTTTCAACATTTCTTCTGCTTTATTCGATGTTGATTTTGTACTAATTTGTGGCGTAATTTTATTTATTTTAGAGACAAATGTCGAGGGCTTTAACAGTGGTGTTCTAGGTCTATTCTCTGTCAAAGGCTGATGGTTTCGAATGTGTTGTCAAATCTCTCCTTCAATCTTACACGTTCTTGATGTATGCTTTCTCTGCTTGGTGCATCCAAATCCAGTTGGGAAAAGTATTTAATCTGCGTTTGATATAGTCCGGAGTCTTCCTATTAAACCCTTCCTTCTTGAAATTCATATACAAACCGTCAATTGCTGTTGATAGCTGCTGCTGCGTAGTGAGAACATGGGAAGATCTTACTTAATATGATGCTGCTTGCTGATTGTGCTGAGATAGTTCACGCTGTAACAATCACACCCTCCCCCTCTCTTCTTTTTCTTTCTTAGTATATAACATATTATTACGATATTATTTCCCTTTTATATAATATGATTACTATATATATATGATCAGGATAAATAAACATGTTTTGATCTTTCTAAAGATTTAATAATAGGCCGTTTGTAATATTTATAGCGTGATCGTCTTAATAAGAACCCTTATTTACGTTGTATTTGTTTAGTAACTTAGTTCTTTTAGGTGTCTTTTTGGAAGAATGAATATTCACTAGAGCAATTGAAAGCCGTTGGTAGTAAATCGTAAGTTAGTATCCCTAAATCCTCCCTCCAGCTACCACCCACATAAGGTCGACAGGTTAGCTCCACCAACCAACCAAAACAACGGCAGATATAGCCAAAAAGCAGTTTTAAGATAATAGTAGTAATTTGCCATAAGAAAGGGTTTGTGTCACTGATGTTGAGTCTATGCATTTCGATCATGTTTGTCTCACCCACCAACAAGTTGCCTTCAATCATTCAAAGGTGGGAAAGTTACAGATATAATGTTGTTATATATAACATCATGGAGGGCAGACAGTCTGCAGCCCCGTAATGAAGGGATCCGACTTAGCAAAGCTACTTAGGTGTGAGTCAAACCAAGACGCAGAGAGCGCCATTGAGGATAGCGTCCCACCAAACAACCATCGCAGATACGCAATGCTTCAGAACGCAACAAGCATCAATACGATTATCGTCGGGCTTACACCATCTCAAGGTCTCCCATACATCCCAACAGACATCACCACCCGCATACCTCCATAGACCAGAACCACAAGAGTGCGTCGAATCAGGCACAGCACACCCGCAGATCCATCACAAGACGCAATACCGCAAGAAGCAGTCAGCATCAATGCAACTATCATACGGATGGCGCCCCCTCACAACACACCCACATGACCCCTATCGACTTTGGTAACAAAGTTTGTATTTTTGCTAACTAAAAAATATCACCAACGTATCATAGTAGCACGCTATTTAGACGCCAGTGAATAAAACTCCACGTATCATAGCGCTGATGCCTGTTACACTTAAAAGTGCTACCAAACACACTCATCCCAATCCGAAAGATAGCCGACGTATCATTATGCTATGCGCTAAGACGCCGCCCACAAACTGTATAAGTGTGCGATGTCCACGGTTTTTGTTGTATTGCTACAACAAACCCGCTTACCACCGACACTAAGATGATATGTCTAGGGCACATCGATTAGCAAGTCCAAGTTTACCTCGGTCTCGGACGCTTGTGATGCAGTCTACGCGCCACTATAATAATCCTTTTCAAGTCCCATTTCTATTAATATAATGCTTTTACATATTTGAGACCTTCCACATATTTGCTTTATTTCATAGATGTTACTATTATATGTCTTTAATATAACGTACTTCAGTTTACAAATTACTAATATCATAATGCTTATGCATCATAGAGGCCTTTTATACTAATACTTTTGTATCATAGACCTTACTATTATATGTCTTTTACATAAGGGACTTCAACTAACAACTCTACTATCGTAATGCTTATGCATCATAGAGACCATCTATAGTAATGATTTAATATCGTAGACCTAACTTATTATATGTCATTAATATATGGGACTTCGACCAACAACTCTACTATCGTAATGCTTATGCATCATAGAGACCTTCTATAGTAGTGATTTAATATCGTAGACCTAACTTATTATATGTCCTTAATATATGGGACTTCGACCAACAACTCTACTATCGTAATGCTTATGCATCATAGAGACCTTCTATAGTAATGATTTAATATCGTAGACCTAACTTATTATATGTCATTAATATATGGGACTTCGACCAACAACTCTACTATAATTGTAATGCTTTATATGCGATGCTAGATGCACTATAATTTCTATAATAGTGCGTTTAGCTTCACCTAGGATTCGTGATGAAATGTTGGCGATGGCCTCTAAATACAACAAGGCGAACTCAGAAAACAAACTGAATTCTACGCATTTTAGATTAATAGGACACACTACAGCTGTTTTTGTTACTGAACATCTATCCCCAGTGAATAAGGCTATTCATACGGCGGCTAGACTCAAAGCAAAGGAGAACGGACATAAATATGTGTGGGTGCGTAATGGCACAGTATTTATGAGGAGGGCTGATGAGAGTGACTCTATATTTTGACAAAAAGTTTGGAAACCCTAAAAAACTATATATTATTTAATTTATTCTATTTGTTCCTTTCTTTCCTTGTTGTCTGTTATATGTTAAGGTTTTTTTTTATAAAAAACGACATGCTAAAATTGTACTTCCAAAATTGTAGTGGTCTTAAAACCAACATGGTTTCTATAATCAAATATTATGTAACATAAAATACATGGTTTCTATAATCTACTATTATGTATGTTTACGTGGTAGAGCCATGCTGCAGTTATATATTAGTATTATAGTTGTAGCACGAATGGGTCGGCTCGACGGGGGATGGACCACGCTCTCACAGAATACCAGCGTAAAATAGTAGCTTAATGCTGCTGTTTCGTATGGTGAGTGTAGAGAACCGGATAACCTTTTTACTGGAAACGAGGCATTCCATCTTAGTCCGATGGGTGGCAACGCATCTGCAATTTGATTCGTAATCGAGGATAAATGTAGATGTCTGTGTGCTCGTTTGTCAACCTATCCTATAAAAAAACAACTGTGAAATAATAATACTCACGGAGATCTAGCTAAATGATTCTGTTTCGTGTAGTGAACTATTTGACCCTAGATATGTAGTATATAGGAGAGATGGATCTTCGTCAGTAATAGCAAGAAAGAGGGAAGGGGGGTTTTAATAGCAGGATCTAGGAAATTCAAAATCGAAGCGTTTGAAAGCTTGGGAGTTGGATCTGAAAGATTTATGGGTTTTAGTCGAAGCGCCCGTTTCACACTCTATTTATCAAATAGCCTTCTGTGCCATTTATTTACCATCGTCTATAAAAAGTGTAACATGATAAATTTTATCACACATATACTAACGTCCTGGAAGAGTAGTATCTACATTGTATAGTAGGTGATTTTAACCTATTTTCCATGAATTGTAGCTTGTTAGATGAGGATCTTGCAAAAACTGAGCTTTATACTGTTTATAGTCAGTCATTTACTGATTTTTAAACGTCAATTATTTGAAGCAGTACAGTCGTATAAAAATCATAGATAAATAGATTGATTTGGTCATTTCAAATTTACCGAACTGTACTACAAATAAGTCACTGCCCCCTCAGTAAAGTTGACAGGCATCATCCACCTCTTGACATGAGTGTTAAGCTATTGAATGACGGAAGATTACCTTATAACACTGAAAACGTACAATTAAATTTCTATAAAGCTGACTATGATAGTATTTGTAAAGAATTAGTGGGCTGTGTTTGGGTCAAGCTACACAGTTGACAGAGTAAATAATATGATACAAATTTTCTACCAGAAAATTCGAGATATTATTATTAAATTTGTCCCAAATAAATCGTCAAAGAACGACACCTACCCACTTTGGTTTTATCGGAATCTAATTAGAACGCTAAAAGAAAAGTATAAAATTAGGTGTCGTGACAAAAAATATAAAAATTCCAGAGATGAGCTTGAGCTACTATTGCTAAGTAAAAGATGTGTGCATATAGCCACAAATTGTTACAATAAATAATGCTATCTAAAGCTCATAGAGTGTGACATAACAAAAAACCCAAAACTGTTTCGGTCTTTTGTCAAGGCGAAACGTGGTCGTTCAGGCACCTATCCCCTATCAATGACTGACGGTACAACAGTAACTTCTGATAGAGTGGAAACTTGCGAACTTTTTTCTTCACACTTTTCATCCGTGTACTTTGAGTTTACTGAATGTACTAAGCAGGAAAATATTTATGACCATTCGGGATTCTTGAAATTAATATAAATTAATAGCTTCCACATAGCACAAAAATAGAAAATTGATCATGTACCCTATTAAATAAATTAAAAATCACAAACAACGGAGCAGGTCCTGGTGGTATCCCTCCAGTGTTTGTAAGTCAGATGTGATGAACACCTTGTTGATTTGCTATTAATTATATTCAATTTTTCTCTTTGTTCTGGGCAGTTTCCTGCTCTATGGAAAGTAGCTAAAATTGTTCCAGTTCATAAAACGGATAGTGAGGATTATGTAAGAAATTTCAGGCCGTGCTCGATACTATCAGTCTTTGTTAAATTATTGGAGTTAATTATTTGTCCTAATATTCAGAGATATAGTAGCCAACATGGTTTCGTTAAATCTAGGTCCACAAGCACTACTTAGGTACATATTATGGAATTACTATTTGAAGCACTTGATGCGGGAAAACGAGTCGACGTAATATATACCGATGTTAGCAAAGCATTAGATCAGATCCCACATGACAACATATTGGTTCGTAAGTTAGCTGCCTATGGTGTTACTAATATTATGTTAAAATGGCTAAAATCGTATTTAAATGACCAAGCGATTTTTGTATACCGGTGTGCCCCATGTGTGTTGTGTGTTTGGTGATGTTCGTAAATGAGATTTCCAGAATTGATGAAATGCTCTCATGTGTACTTGTATGTGGTCATCAGATTTAAAAATTTGCAAGACGATTGTGGAAGAGAACGATTCGGTAAAGCTACTGAATGGTTTTGATCAATTGATTAAATGGTGCAAAGTAAATCATAAACATTAGTAAATGTTTCTATGTACAATATGCGAGAATAAGTAACACTATCGACTATAGTTATCACATAATATATAGCCGTTAGATCAAATTGTAGACCTCGGGGTTATTTTCGATAAAAAAATTAACTATGTTCCCCACATTGAAAACAAACGTTCATCTAGGATATTGGCTTTTGTGATAAGACATCAAAATCTTTCAAGCGTCAAAATTAAAATTCTTTTATATAACAGTTTGGTAAGAAGTATATTAGAAAACTGTGCTGTAGTCTGGAGACCTCATTCACTGAGAATCGAGTGTATTCAAAAAAGATTCATAAGACATTTGTCTTACGCAAGTGTGTGGTTTTAGAACTTATAAAAAGCGTGTATCATATAAACATAATTAGATCTATTTCAAAATTATTTCTCTAGAGACCCGCAGGGATATTATTGATTTAATTTTTGCTTGCAAAATTATTACTGGTGTTATTAACTGTCCTGAAATTTTAAGTAAATTCAATATGTGCCTTCCCTTTGGTTATCCGCGTTATGCTTGTAAGATTACACCATTGACTAGACCGTATCGTAGAACAGTGCTCAAATTCTTCAATTGCTAGAATGAGTAAAATTGTTAACAAATTAAGAGATAAAATTGATATATTTTTCAACCCTCCTAACAACCTCCGTCGCACTATATGAGACCATCTTTTGTAATATGAATTTTTAAAACATGTTCTTCCCTTTCCGCTTCTATATATTTTTAGTACCAATTTTTTTTATCTTTTCTATATTCTAGAAATAATGGTACACAGTGATGAGACAGTTATTTGCAGTTCCGCCTGTAATTATTAATACATTTTAGTTCTTATCATTTCATTGTACTTAATTAGCATGTAAAGAATGATACAAATGTTGGGGGATCAATAAACAAAAAAAAATTATATTAATGGGCCGTCACAGCGCGTTTGTGCCGTAGTTATGGTGAATACCCAAAAGAGACTTAGCTACTTCTTTTTACGTGGCAGAGCCATGGTGCAGCTATATTATAGTTGTAGCACGAATGGGTCAGCTCGACCGGGTCAGGACAGGACCACGCTCTGACAGATAACCAGTGTCAAATAGCAGCGTAATGCTGCTGTGTTTCGTATGATGAGTGTAGTCAACCGGAGACTATTTTTACTGGAAACGAGGCATTCCACCTTAGTCCTCAGGGGTGACAACGCATTTGCATTTTGATTCTTAATTGAGGATAAATGTGGATATCTATGGGTCACTGCATCCACTTACCATTAGGTGGACTGTGTGCTCGTTTGTCACCTAGTGCTTTAAAAGAAAGTCCTGATACGCTCCATGCTGCTACTGCTGGGCGGCGCTCCAAGACTCGCTGCGCCCTCTAAATGCTTAATCCCTGCTGCTTAGTTACACCGATTGCCGGAGCTTACTGATATAGATAAGAAGCTGCACACTTATTAGTATAAACCGAAAAGCTAATGCACACGTTACTCAGTGCACTATGTCGCAATAGGTCACTGAGTGGAAACACTTTTTCCGGTTGTTAAAACCCGAATTTTAGGTCCTGCTACGGAGCTTGACGGTTAATAAAGATGTTTTCGTACTTCTTCACTTTTAAATGATATAAGAAAAAAATATTACATTTAAATTAAATAATTATATTGATAATGATGTGTAACGCATCTGCCGTGTTCGGTGTAAAATAAAAGGTGCAAATGATGTTGACCTGAATAAATCGCGTACAAACTAAAATGTACAGTTGCTTTGTATAAATGGAGAAGATTACACGTTATATAAAGACTTATTAGATGATGATGAACAATCTTTCAGATATTTGCATTTGATGGATGGATCGTCATACGTCTTGTCCGACGACTCATCGATCATTGTTGCCTACATATTATAAGTAAATTCTACTAATAATAATAAATATAAATTACATGATCATGGGCATGCCTCCTTCAATACCTACTGCGTTTTATGCGGCGCGTACGGTGTGGGTGAAATGAGCGAGATTTAATGTAATTTCTTTCAACGAATTCTAAAATGCTGCGCCTACGGTGCTGGCAAATGTGCGTTCAACTTTAATTCGTAAGTTGAGATCATATATTTAAACAAACGAAATCAAAGAACAAAGAAGTGATTCAATAGTGTTCTGTTGTAGGCGGCCGCGGAAAGATGGTACCACTGTTCTCTCCAAAACCATACTACGGTGAGTAAAAATAAAAATAAAATAATTGGAATATTAAGAAAATATAAACCAGTACTTTACGTTTTTGAATTTGCCGTATATACTGTAGAAATATGGTACATGGTTTCCACGAACCACGCGAAGTTTCTGCTTAGAAGTTTCTCCTTTGATCTGTATCCGCTATTGATCGTCGTCGATGAAAGTAAGAGGTATTTTTCCTCTCGCTCGCTCACCATCGGCAAGTAGGGCTATATGATAAATATTAAGTTTTTCTAGGACTGATTTTTCAATTCTCTGATATTTAAATATTATCATGGTTGAAACTAAAAACCGAATAAATTAAAAATTACAGTTGTAAGACTACAATAGAGCAATTATTTATATTTTACTTATATATTCAGTCAGGTTATAATTTACTTAATGGTTAACTTTTATCTGATGATTGAGAAACAAGCCTTTTTGTAATACATATATATTATATAATATGAAGAGTAAACAGTATAATGAATTAACACTTGTAGATGGTTAATTCTCTATTTTTGATGGTTTTGATGGATTCTAGTTAACACAGTCATAAATAAAATGACTCATTAAGTCCAAAAACAAAAGATTAATTAATTTGAAAATCTAATTAAACTTATTGCACAGAATTTCATAATCATTGGCACTTCTGCATAGTAAATGGCACTATTCGTTTGTCACCCTTATACTATTAAAAAAATCATCTCTCGCGCGGACTTGTCGACTTCCAGTCTTCCGAACAACCCGGTTTCCGAAAAGTCTTTTATGATTCGAATTTAAACAGATGGAAGGAATACTTTGAAAGCGTGTTTATGAGCGAAGAGTCGTCTGAATTAAATGAACTAGAAATTCCGAAAGAAGTGGAAAGGGGTATGGAGATAAGTTTAGATGAAATAATGAAAGCAATGAAAAGCATAAAAGCAGATAAGGCAGCTGGATGTGATAGAGTATCACTCGAGATGCTTAGGGCTGGAGAGGGAGTGGTGGCAGGCGTGCTGTACACTGCTGTACCTTGTACACTTTATGTTGGGAATTAAAACGGGTACCGGATGACTGGTGTAAAGCAGTTATAGTACCAATATATAAAGGAAAAGGGTCACAGCAGGACTGCAAAAACTACCGTGGTATCAGCTTGCTTAATATTGTAGGTTAACTGTGTGCTAAGGTATTAATTGAAATAGTTATGAAAGAAACTGACGGAAAAATTTGGGATGTGCAAGCGGGTTTTAGAAAGGGAATGCGGTGTACAGATCAAGTCTTTTTCATGCCCATGATTGCGGAGAAGTTTTTGGCCAAAAACCAGAAACTTTTTTGTGCGTTCATGGAAAAATTCAAATTGGAAAAGGCTTATGAGAGAGTGCACAGGAATGTGTTATGACAAACACTGAACTTATATGGGTTGAGCGCTGGTTTGATTCAGGCATTATGGTCTCTTTATAGGGACTCTAGTGCTTGTGTCAGGATCAATGGGGTCTATTCGGACTGGTTTGGCATCCAAAACGGTGTCAGACAGGGCTGTGTAGCTTCCCCTCGGCTGTTCAACCTATTTATGGACAGTTGTTTGCAAACTTTGAAAGATGAAGAATTAAGAATGGGCGAGTTAACCGTCAAATGCCTTTTGTATGGCGATGATCAAGTCATATTTGCGTCATCGGCGGCTGAGTTGCAAATGATGGTTACATTAATGAACTGGGCATTAAAAGAAAGGGGAATGAAAGTGAACGCAAGTAAGACGAAAGTTATGGTTTTTGAAAGAGAAGAAAGCAAAACGGTATGTGAAATAAGAATAGAAGGAGAGTTAATTGAGCAAGTGGATGAGTTTGTGTATTTTAGGATGTGTATTTAGCAGGGATGGTAGATATGGTAGGGATATAGAACGACGAGTAAATGGGAATAGAGTGAATGGGGCACTACACTCTATTATGAAGAATCAGAATGTGTCAAAAAAGGCACGTATGGTAATTTATAATGCTGTGTTAGTCCCTACTTTAATGTATGGTAGTGAAAGCTGGGTGTGGCAGAAGAAGCACGATAGTAGAATAAATGCTGTAGAAATGCGGTCTTTAAGGAGTATGCTAGGGTTTAATCTAAATGACAAGGTGAGAAATTGCATGATAAGAGATAAATGTGGTATGCAAGATGATGTTGTGACCAGGATTAAGAAAGGAATGCTTCGGTGGTTTGGTCATGTAGAAAGAATGAATGAGGAAAGAGTGACAAATCAAATTTATATGGCAGATGTGAATGACAGAGTCGGGAAGGGACACCCTAGAAAAAAGTTTATCGACCAAATTGGCGATATTTTAAAAATGGGCCACGTTAGAAGTACCCTTAACCGACGAACATGTATGCGTAGATATATGGATGTAAAGGAGGCGAAAGCGGTATGTCAGGATCGTGCCAAATGGAAGTCCGTAGTCTCTGCCTACCCCTCTGGGTGACAGGCGTGAGTGTTTATGTTATGTATTTTATACCATGTTAAACGTCATATGTATAAAGTGTTTAGCTATAGGAATATTGTTCTTATTTTAGGACTCTCTCTATGCTGGTAATTAATCTGTGATAGGTACTGTTTACCTTATATTATAATAATAGTTAGTCATAGACTTATACTGCTACGGCAATAAAACTAAATGTATTAAATTTACAACAGCAAATGTTAATAATCCGAATACCAATGTGTTTTTAAATGAGGAGAAAACTGAGTCCTGTTGAGTCCTCTGTTTTTCTTGGCATCACTCTCGACGCTGAGCTTCAGTGGGGTCCCCATATATCTAGACTAGCAAGCAGACTAAGCTCTGCAGCTTATGCTGTAAAAAAGATTAGAGATCTCACTAGTGTCGAGACAGCTAGATTTTAGAGCTTCTCGACTCCACAGAGTCAGTAATTCATTTTTGAGGCAATGTATACGCTATTACAAAATGTCCCAGAAAATATACAAGGTTTCTCTATTACCTAATAAAAAGGGTTATATTATGATATAAATTAATACATGGTTGATAATAACACGGGGGAATGAGGTGGTTGCTTCCAAGCTATTTCTAAAATAAATTTTGTAAATATTCTGTGACAATTATTGCATTGCATGCAATGCATTGTAAAATTTATTTAAAAAAGAGTCCCGCTGGGTTTCCTGCTGGTTCTTCCCACGACAGAGGTTTTTTGTCGCACCAGTGGTGACTTTGAATAAGAATGACTTCCAATAAGAATTACTTGTAATCTATATTGAATTAAAAATTGTTCTATTCTACTAAATAAATGATAATTATAGTGTAATTGACTTAAGTGTCATTCGGTGTGGTTAAAATATATATTTATTTAAAAATATGTGAATACTTATTAAGTAATTTGAACTTTAACACTAGTTCGAAAAAATCCTGTGACCTGGAAATAACCAGCAAAAAACCCAGCGGGATTAAACTAATATTAAAATAATTACAACGTAATATTTTATATAATAATTAAGTATGATATATTTATATACGGCATGGTAGCGAGCACCTCATTCCCAGAGGTTATTAATATTGATCATGTACTCTTTAGTAGTAATAATCCTTATTTAACAATTCTTGATGAATTAAGAAATGTAATAAATATTATTCAAAACATTTCAGGCTCACCGCCTCAACGTCGCTACGGTGAGTATTTATATTATACTATCTACCAATAACATGAAAATAAAGCCTTTGAGTCCCATAGCTGGGCACAGCCTCTTATTTCTGAGACGATTACAGGCAGTAAGTAAGTTTTTTTCTTCGACATGATGATTTCCTCAAAAAGTTTTCAGCACTTTGTAAACCAACACTTAAAATTGCATGTAGCAATTTTACAAACCATTGAGATTCGATTTGCTTTGTCTTTCGTAATGCAAACAGCAAAGGAAGGGATGATTTGATAGCGTCTGTCTTCTTGTATTTAAGGAAAGTGAGAATAGGCTTTTATTACACTAAGACGGTGCGATTTACCATCTAGAGCTTTATCACTTCTTACCACCAAGACTAAGTGGGATTGTGTCAATTACCGGCTATAGTAAGTAAAAAAACAAAGATGTTATTAAACATTGCGGCCAAGAAGCCATGGTTACAACTCCTAACAAATGATTCATGTCTACGGTTGCATATTTTTACAGATAATGGTTTTGCCGAAGGCGTCTCTTCACGCCAACGCTTTGCAAATGCGTCCCGACAGTTTCAAAGCGAATACGACTTTGGGAAACAACCGGGCAGTATTGAACAAGGTGTGTTTTAGTGTCCACAAGTTCCTTTTTCATAATTTTACCCACAACCGATATAGGTCATGACTGTTGAATATTATGTGCAATGGTACATAGAAGTGTTGTGCCGAGGCTGGATATATTACCCTAACATAAGGGTGCAAGATTCGAAGCCGCAGCTCTCAACGCCGCAAGTCAATGCCGAGCCATTGCGGCACGGAGCCGCCTACTCCATGTGAATGGCGATTTTTAACTCCACTCCACAACACACTAGTGGGTCGGTGCCTTTGCCGATATACGCTCGGTTTTTGGGCACTGGGTAGTACTAACAGAGACTTCAGTTCTACAACACGTAAAAATGGTCTAATCGAGTCGTCTTATGTTTGCTATATTTCTTATATTTAAGTCGAAAATATAATCAAAGCACAGATGTCAAATTTCGAATTCATCCAATCTAAAATTAAATACTATACCTAGAAGGATCATATTTGAAAAGTCAAAAATGGACCTTAAAAATATTTTGACTACTTCCGCATGAGCGAGGAGATCTTTCATAATTTCACAAGTCAATATCGAGTCTCAATCTCAACACGTCCTTTCTACCTCGCCTCACACACACACGCACACGGCTACGATACATAAAAATGTATTAAATATGGATAAAGCATGTATGTCCAGTTATCGGCGCCGGCGGTGGGACGGCGAATACTCCCAGCGCAGCTGTACCGTCTCCAGCGCTGGTATAACGACCTTCCCACTGGATGCCGACCAGTAAAACTGCATGTACAGGTGCCGGCTAGTGGAAAATCGCCCAATGTCTTCTCGAAAGAAATATTTTTTTGAATTTTTTTTAATGGAAAATCTGAAATAAATGATCTTTGATCATTTTTAATCTAAATAACGCTACATTAATAGATCCCTATCCACGTGAATCCGAGGCTAGATGCTAATAAACAAAAAAAAACATGCGTGCAGCTCACACGCGACAGAAGTGAAACTTTCAAATGAAATGAAATATAAAATACAAATACTTTAAATGATTTATTTAATATTATAATTTACACTATATATAGTATAAAGTTAGTATATATATATATATTAGACACAGATATTATATTACTGTTTTCGGTATACCTTATAAAGTACTTCACTAATTACAAAAAGATTTATATCAATTTTACCTATTACGAAGTTGTGGTTTGGCCGTTCTTCAGTGCTTGTTTAATCCATAGTACCTGCGTAATACTATTATTTATTCTGTGTCCATAGGCACACGACAACTTCGTACCCTGTTGAACAAAACACCCTAAAACACAAAATAGCTCAATGCTCGCGAGAAAAAGTCGTAAACGCCACTGAAACGGCGTCGCTTACGACTTTTTCTCGCGAGCATTGAGCTACAATCTATAATGCTTCCTATCTCATTTTTTATCACATTAAATCTTATGAATTTATATATCTGTCTCTTTTTACTGTCGCTTTTTCCTTTCATAGACTCTCAAATCACAACGATGCTAAAGAAGTTTTCGCTTCAATAAAAGACAAATTTTATTTCAGAAACTGGGACAGAACTTCAAGATAAAAACCAGGGTAGCAAAATTCCCCTCAAGTCAATTGTGAATTCTTCAAATACAAACTTCACTACTACCATTGAAACAACAACAACTACTACTACTAAACCAACAACAACAGCAACTACTACTACTGAAACAACAACAACAACTACTACTACTAAACCAACAACAACAACTACTACTACTAAAACAACTAGTACTAATCCTACTGAAACAACTACAACAACCAATCCGAACTCACCGGCAACTGCTGATAGTAAGTCAATTTTAGTAGACTCTTTTGCTAAAGTCAAGTAACGATAGTGTTCAAGTGGTACTTTTAAATGTAAGCAAATCTAATTAAAAAAGGGTTAAACCATTATGCCTGTAGGTTACATAACGACATAATATACTAGCTCCTTGCACATGCTAAGCTATTAATAATAATAATGGCCCCCAGGTCCGAATTTCAATTGCGGCACGTCTTAACGGAGACTAGACATCTGTGCATGACAGTAGTGCCCGAGTGTATGCCAGATGCACTCTCTATTCCCTCACCCTCATAGTTTAATGGGGTGGTAATCCGATACAACCAGAGGGAGATCAGGCGCAAGATCATCTCTTAATAGAAGTATCAATTTCAACGCATCCCTTCTACCTCGCAACGCGCACACGCACACGGCTACAATACGTAAAAATGAATATATGGCACGTTTCCAGTAATTGGCGCCGGCGTCGGCACGGCGATGACTTCCACCGGTACCGTCGACGGCCGGGACAGCAAGCTTCCCGCTCGGTGCCGGCCGTTAAAAATGTATGTGTAGGTCCCGGCGAGTGAAAAATCGCCCAATGTCTGAAAAACTGAAACAATAATAGATCTTAGATTATTTTAAATCTAAATAAATTTAAATACAGATCATTGTAGACGGTGCATGCTCCAATTACATGCCTATTAATACTGGCGTTCCACAAGGCTGCGTGCTATCACCAACGCTGTTACTTCTTCATATCAATGACATGTTGCAAACCGGTAATATTCATTGCTAAGCAGATGAAAGCACTGGTGATGCTTTATACACCGTCCGTGTCAATACTTCTCGGGAAAATATCGCCGAGTACCGGAACAAACTTGTGTCTGAAGTCGAGTCTTTGCTGAACAAAGTCTCGGATTGAGGGCGACTAAATCTAGTCGAGCTTAATCCTCAGAAGACACAATTTTGCGAGTTTATAGCTAGAAATAACCCCTTTGTCGTATCTCCTCGGTTTCAAGGCACTTACCTAGTTGCCTCAGCCAGTATCGTAATCCTTGGCGTTGAAATATCGAGTGACGTGCAGTTTCGTGGTCACTTCGAAGAGAAGGCCAAATTGGCCTCTAAAAAGCTTAGCGTGCTCAGCAGGGCGGGACGGTGTTTCATGCCGACACACCGCCTGCAACTACTGCTCTCATCTCTGGGCTGGGGCTCCCTAGTGCCAGCTCCTTCCACTTGACCACATCCAGCAAAGAGCGGCTCGAATCGTCGACGGCCGAATGCTTTCCGATCGGCTCGATTCACTGGTGCTGCGAAGAGATGTTGCATCCTTTTGCATTTTCTTTCGCATCTATATGCGTGGTAGAGCTACGCTGCAGCTATAATATGGTTGTAGCACGAATGGGTCGGCTCGACCGGGAAGGACTACGCTCTCACAGAATACCAGCGTAAAATAGCGGCTTAATACTGCTGTGCTTCGTATAGTGAGTGTAGAGATCCGGATACCCTTTTTTACTGGAAACGAGGCAATTCATCTTAGTCCTCAGGGGTGATAACGCTAGATGCGTTTTGATTCTTAATCGAGGATAAATATAGATATTTATGGGCCACATCATCCACTTACCATCAAGTGGACATGAGCACACAACTCGGTTGTCTACCTTATGCTATTAAAAAAATTCTACTCTGAGGAATTGTTCGGATTGATTCCAGCCGCCAAATTTCATGAACGCATCGCGGCAAAACGTTCGATATCATCCACACCATCTGGATGCTTGGTGGTCAACAACTGTACGTTTACCATCGGCAATTTCTCCGAACCGATACGACTTAGGGACCTTCAAGAAAAGAGCTTACTCCTTTCTAAAAGGCCCCCAACACACCTGCAATTCTCCTGGTGTTTCAGTTTTTCATAGGTGACGGTAGTCACTTACCATCAAGTGAGCTTCAGGCCGCTGATTCCTAAGATATAGACACATCTAGTTTTAGAAGTCGGAGAATTCGTAATTTTTTTTTTATATTAAAAGAATCATTTATTATGAATTATTTAGCCGTATGCTCGTTTGCCGCTCTCCTGTAAAAAAAATAACATCTCATTAATAAATGTCTATCGACGTGAATCTGGAGCCAGCTGCTACTAGACAAATAAAAAACTTTTATTTCAGAAAAAGAGACAAAACTTCAAGATAAAAACCAGGGTAGCAAAATTCCCCTCAAGTCAATTGTGACTTCTTCAAATACAAATACCACTGCTGGAACAACAACAACAACTACTACTACTACTGAAACAACTAGTACTAATCCTACTGAAAATACTAGTACTAATCCCACTGAAACAACTACTACTAATACTACTGAAACAACTAGTACTAATCCTACTGAAACAACTACAGCAACAAACCCGAACTCACCGGCAACTAGTAAGTCAATTTCAGCAGACTCTTTTATTAAAGTCAAGTAATGACAGTGTCCAAGTGATATTTTTAGATGTAAGCATACCTCATTATATAATGGCCACACCAACTCCTGTAGGTTACACAACGGCATAATATACTAGCTCCATGCATATGCTAAACTTTTAATAATAATAATGGCCCCAGGTCAAAATTTCGATCATGGCGCCCTGTCTCAACAGTAGTGCTCGAGTGTATGTGCAAGCACAAGTACACTCAATATACCCTCACTCACATAGTACGATAGGGCGGTAATCCGATACGACCGGAGGAAGATCAGGCGCAAGACCAACGGCTTTTACATGCATTCCGAGGTGCGAGGGTGAACCACCATCCAATTTCTGAATCAGGGCTGCTACTGATAATTTCTTGTCAGAAAAGCTCAATAAGTGATTTTGATCTGACCCTGGATCACTGGAGCAACTAGGTAGTTAATTATTACTATCATCTGTATACTCGAGTACATGTATGAGAAGGTTGCACGAAATTTGACTTTTTGGAATGCAATATGTAGCAGAGGTGGTGGGGAGCATCAAAACCGCATACCAAATGCCACTTGTGAAATCACGCGACTACTGCAGGCATACCAGTAGCTTGCAATTTTGTTACTTACAATATAATATTTGGCTGACAAGCTGCCGACAATAATGCACGTGGTCAGCGTAATTCGTTTCATTTTTAAGCGTAATTCAATTTTCGTAGGTACTAATCATGTCACGGGAAACAGTGTAATGGCGATGTCAGAGTATCCACTACCCTATATCGTCGTCGTTATTAGGAAGACGGTGCTGCCCATCTCCTGGTTTGTTTGCCTTTGTCGCCTCTTATGAAACCCACGGGTTGATGTGGAGTATTGGATATTCTTGCACCGCTGCCACACAGTGAATTCCCCTTTTAAAACGAAGGTATTCACTTGCATTGGGATTTAGACCTTATATTTTTAGTCTGTTTTAGGTACTTTAAATTACCAAACCAACGAAAACGTAACAAAAAACAACGGAAATGAATTAGAAGTAGCACAGGCTGCAGAAGAGCTAGAGCGTGAGCGATCATTCTTGAGAGGGACATCCAAGCGTCCTAAGTACCTTTGTCGCACCACTAAATCAGACCACAGCGGAGCTACTTTATGTTTGGGACGGGGTAGGGTGTGTAAACAAGAAAAGCCACAGCTTTCTGGTACGGTGCGCTTCCGTGGCACTACACGTATGTATCTGTCGCGAAGCTCTCGTCCCATGATACCTCTTCCAGAGAACAACGCTTATTGCTTCACCAATCCAGAGAGCGCTCTCTGCCGCACATTTATTTAATCTGTAAATACAACATAAAATAAAAACCCTGTGGTTCCCGTTAAGTGCGTTATCTGAATCAGTATTCATACGTACTGAAATAACTTTACTTTAGAAAGCACGACCATAAAAAATTAAATTAAATTTAAATAAATTTTTATTTGCAAATTGTATGTAGTTTTATTACGTCGTCGACATTTTTAAAGCGAGTCACATACTGTGCAAATACGATAAGATATCTGTATCTGAGCGCATATCTTTCAATATCGCTCTCTATCAAATTCAATAAACTAAAACACACAGCGCAGATAATTTAAATTTTGTCGTTAAATATCTGAAAGCACCGATCTATAAAGAAAGATGGTGACAATATTACCTGCTTATACAAATATATCACACACAAATATGGCATAGGATTTTACCTGCAAATAAATACAGGGCAGTCGCTGAAAAAATGCAGTGATTAGAGCGAGACCAAAAACAAAATACACCAGTGTGCTTATAATGTGCATGTTGGATGACAAATAGTGCTGCACCATGCATTTCCTGCCTCAACTACAACTATCGATATCTATTGCAGTATATTCGAGTCTTCTGATTTGAAGCAGACGATGTAAGTGAATATTTTTACCAAACTACGGCGAGCGAAAAGGATGATTACAATTTTAGAAGATTATGTATGTATGTATTTACATATGTTCACTCGTATCTTCTAAACTACTCATCGTATATATACATATCTGTGAAAGCATTGTGGCATTTCGCTAGCTTTAAGCTGCATTAAAGTTAAGTTAGTTAAGTTACTGCCTATATACGTCCCACTGCTAGGCACAGATCTGCCCTCATTTCTGGGATGCTTTTAGCGCAAGGAAGTGTCCACCGTGCTCCCCCAATGCGTGTTGGCGAACTTTACAATATTTCTCAGACATGCAGGTTTTTTCTCACGATGTTTTCCATCACCGATGAGCACGTGGTAAATCAGCACTTAAAAATTTAATTAACAATATCATTGGTGCCAGCGGGGATTGAACCTCGAGTTGCTCCCGTACTGTGAAATTTACAACGAACGCTAACCATCTGAGTTACCACGGCTCTTAAGCTGCATTAAATTCACACATATAGAAACATTGAATTACTTACAATACTAAAATAAACTATGTTAATATATAAGAAATACAAAAACTAAAAACATAATTTATCATGAAATTCTTCTACCCGTGGTATCTTGCCAAGAACGCTCACTGCCTATCCTCGCTGAATGGTAATACTAATTAAATAAATATTGAAAAATCGTGTGTATATTCCAAAAATACATGCTATAAAAATGTTAACTATGTTAGGATTTATAAGTTAGTTTTTATAAAACTGAAATGTTCAACGAACTTACAGTCCACCAGATGACGGTAAGTGGCTACTGCTGCTCATGGAAACTACTACTAACTAAGAAGGTCGTTGTCACCTCTACGTACTGAGATGGAACACCTTACAGCCTGTATTTATTTATCTGTGACTTGCTTAAGAGTGTGAACACAGGCACAGGCCCACTCTCATTTCTGAGGGGGCTTTAGGGCAATGAAATGTCCGCCACTTTGGCGAAATACATGTCTTCGAATTTTTTTCTTATTTCTCATACATGCAGGCTTCCTCACGGTGTTTCATCACCATCAAGCACGCTGTAAATCAGCACTTAAAATTGCAATTACATAACTATTTTATTGGTGCCAGCGGGGATCGAATCCCGGATTAGGGATGGCGATTTGAGATCGATTAATCGAAGAATCGATTTCTTATGCCAAAAAGATCGATTTTTATGTCGTTATATAGTACTGAATCTATACAGTGAATCGATATTTCACCCTAGAAAATCGTGATCGAATCTTTTTCTGTTTTATAAGACACTGTAAAACTATTTACAATTAGTTGAATGTACCCAAACTCGTAAAGAATGACAGTTTTTTCTATTCAAAAACTCCCAAAACTGCAATGTGCTCAGTTTCTTTCGTGTCTTCTTAATGGATTAAAGAAATAAAAAATAAGGTATATTTGTAATAAATTATATAAACTCTGAAAGCAAATCCAAAAAAGATCGATGTTTTAGACCTCGATTTATTTGTGAATCGATTCAGCAGATCTCGATTCGAATCGATTTAAAAATGTTGGCACCTTTGAGTATTAAACCAATTGGTTAAATACTCAAAGGTTGGCGCTCACTGCATACGGTGCGTGTGGAGCGGCACACATTTTTTTTAAATGTGAGAGAGCGAAGTCCTTGTAAAAGTATTTCTATATAAATATTGTAAGTCTTTTCCAAGCGGGTAGGAATAATGTTCTATATTCAAACTTTTAGAAGGATTAATATATCGATTATCTGGTCACACATATTATTCTTTTTTATGTCGTTATATTTTAAAGACGGCCATTTTATATATACAATAGAAGGGGGAAATATTGTTATAAAAAATATATGTTATTTTGTATTGTAAAACTATGTTTATGAATGCTTTATTGTACAAAATATTAGATTACCGTTTAGCGGCGGTGTAAGAATATCTATATGGGATAGATATTCTTACACCGCCGCTATGATCCCTAGGATGTCGTCGCAAGAGGCGACAGAGGATATCATATCAGCAGAAGGACAGCGGCGCCTTCCAACTACTAAAAATTAAACTGCGGTTGCCTACCTGATTGCTAAGCGTAGTTACAGCCATGGGTTGCCTAATATCCGTTTACAGTATTAGCTTAATATTTTGTAAAGTTTGTTATGATCGATTTATTAAAATAAACAATAAAATTTACTATTTTCATGTTGACAAAGCTATGTTATTAATATATTGTTGCGCGCCTAAGTTGACTTCTGGTACCTGGCACTAGCGCCATCTAGTGTCGGGGACCAGAGCGAGGAAGGCTTCCTAGAAAATGTCAATCTTGAACTTTCCACCAACAGCACCATCTAGTATCGAACAGAAGAATTAAGCTTTCTAGAAGCCCCACACTCGAACTTTCTGTGCCTGGTCGGTCGTCGCCCGTATTCGCCCGTACTGGAATATTCTGGATGTTTCGGTAGAAAAGGTGTATTTAAAGCCACTGCAAGCCGCGATCGGGCAGTATTGAATTGGCGATACGAGCGAAGCTTCAGAGCGAAATAAAGTGAACTAAAAGTGATTAGTGTGATTTAAGTTTTAATTGGTGTTCTCTAATAAAAGTGTAAATTTTGGTAATTCAATCGGCAGTTTTTATTGTCACGAACCTTAAGCTCATAACAATATTAGTGATATAAACATTAAAATAAAAATATTATTTTTATGTGCTGTATCGTCAAAACTGTATTCAAATCGTTATTTCTCTTAATTTAAAAAAAATATAGAATAGTGTACCAATTATTTGTGTTTAATTTCATTCATGTTAAAAAATATTGTAGTTAATTCCTATTGACAAATTATGAATCACGCTTTATGAAATGGGATAAATTATCAATAACTGTTAAATTAAACATTTCAAGTTACATGTAGAATTATCATTTAAAAAATATTTCAAATGTTTAATTCACAGTCCGTTGTTGATGATTAACCCTAGTAAGATAAAGCGTAATGAATCACCACGAACTGTGGTATATATGTTGAGGTGCATGTATTGTACAGTAACTGCAACATTCTCACTATATTGGGCAGCAACAGCACCAAACGGCGCTAGTGCTCCGCGGTGGACAGGTTTCACACGAGCGGGTTTTCTTTTCCTTCGGTGAGTTGTTACGGATGTAATGAAACATGTATGATCCGTAGCCGGTTATCACATCCAGTGAAAGATATGTTTATATCGTCATTTCATTTTAACTTGATGTTGCCGATATACGGCACCAATCACAAAGTTCACTATGAACGCGAGTGATTCTGGTTACATCGTGGACTAGTATTGCTAGTGACGCATAGTTCGTTTCATCATCATCATTATCACAGCCCTTCAAAGTCCACGCCTCGCCCAAGAAATGCATTGTTGGTTTACGCATAGAATAATAGTCAAATTCATTGACACAACTGTATTCAAAAGTTATATTGATGATTTTATAACCTCAATATAAGTTATTTATCATCTAATCTGCAACAACAGGAGTCACAATAATGTTATTTTAATTTAAATTACGCATATAACTAAAACATCTATTGTGATACATATCAAAATGTGTTTCAATATATAAATACTATCGACTCAAAAAATTTATATATATATATTTTATTTATTCTTCGCAGTAAATAAAGAGATTTGAGTCGATAGTATTTAGTACTTTTATTTTCCCCAATAATAATCACCAAGTCAAAATTATTTTACGGCACGTGTACTACCTAATTAATAACCTTAAAAAAATGGCACGTTGATACTTAAAAGTACTACTACTCGTATTACGACATACACGAGACAAAATGGGGTATGCAGGACATTAATTTATTCGCAGACTAAAAAACCTTTTTGAAGTATATGTTAGTATACGTGATAGAGCCACGCTACAGTTATATTATGGTTGTAGATTGAAGCAATAATTGATTGCCAAAACAGAGGTAGGACCACGCTCTCATCCAACTTTCGCATGGTGAGTGTTAGACAACCAAAAACATTACTGGAAACGAGGCATTCCATCTTAGTCCTCACGGGTGACAACGCATTTGCACTCTGATTCTGAATCGAGGATAGATGTAGATGTCTATGGGCCATAGCAGCCATCAGGTGGACTGTGTGCTCGATTGTCACCCTTATTCTACGGGGTCCGCCATCTAACTTTTTTTTTCAACTAGTGCTTATTTCGTGAATGGCAACACTTAGCTCATGTCTAATTTGACAGATAATTAGTTTTATCCTTCCGCTGAACGAATATGGTTGTGTATACGCTTGAACAACGCTGGGAAATATTGCGACATTACTTTGAAAATCATGGTAACGTTGCAGAATGTGTGCGAAAATTGCGTACGGATTTTGGAAGAAATGAAGCACCGTCAGCTCCGTATGTTCGTTACCTTGTGAAAAAAGTG